GAGATAGGTACGCCACGAGGTGGCTTGTTGATATGAGGCCGAGAGCCTAGTGATGATGCCACGAGATGGCTTAATATTGCGCTTGGGCCATAAGAGGCCCCTCCAGGAGTCTGCACACCCCCAATGAGCGAGGGTACCCATTGTGATGTGAGATATAGCCCGAGGGGCTGGTATTGTTGACATTATGCCCGAGGGGCAATCCTTTATGTACTTATCTGTCTTATTTCTCTGTCATTACCTGCTTAATTGTTAAAAAGGCATTTCATGAAGTTTGAACTGAATTAAAAATGACTTTTCACATGATCACTGCTTCACCGTTTCTACTGGTTTTTCTGCTTCATTATAGCCTGTAATGTACCTTACGTGTTTTCATATCTCTCAGTCGTTTATTTATGATTATTACTCACTGAGTTGGAGTACTCACTTTACTTCCTGCACCCCGTGTGCAGATTCAGGCATTGCTGATCTTGTCAGCGCGAGTTGAGAGCTCCCGACAGACTTCGGAGTTCACGAGGTAGCTGCTTGGCGTCCGTAGTCCCGTGTTTCTCCCCTTTATCTCATTTCTATCTCTTTATCAGTTATTCTGTAATAGTTTAGTAGGCATTTCAGATTTGTAGCGTATTGTTAGATGCTCATGACTAGTGACACCCCGGTATTGGGCTGTGTTGGGTTGTATTCCGTGAATTGTTTCGTATTGTCACTGTTTACTTTTGGATTTATATCATGTTTTAGACTTAATGCTTATTGATTAATTGCTTAAAACTGAATTGGAAATGTGTCGGCTGGCCTTGTTTTCACGAGAGGCGCCATTACGACCGGGTCCGGGTTTGGGGTCGTGACAACAATAAAATAACATTAAGAGCAATTAATTAACACCACAATTTTGTCTGAACACACACATACACACAAACATGGAGTAAACTCAAACCATAACACACCAAATACAATTTTTTTTAACATCTATCTATATTATATTAAAAGGAGGGTAGTATGCATTGTGGTTAAGCCAAGTGACAAGTTAAAATGAAGTCACTTGACAATTTTTTGGACAACATTAATAACTAGAAACTATAAATAGAAACATAATTAATGGAAGTAGTTTAAAGAATCTTATACATAATCTAAATAGATATTAGACAAATCTAATTTATATATCTATATTTATATGTATATGTATATTTTATTTATATCTATATCTATATCTATATCTATATCTATATCTATATCTATATCTATATCTATATCTATATCTATATCTATATCTATATCTATATCTATATCTATATCTATATCTATATCTATATCTATATCTATATCTATATCTATATCTATATCTATATCTATATCTATATCTATATCTATATCTATATCTATATCTATATCTATATCTATATCTATATCTATATCTATATCTATATCTATATCTATATCTATATCTATATCTATATCTATATCTATATCTATATCTATATCTATATCTATATCTATATCTATATCTATATCTATATCTATATCTATATCTATATCTATATCTATATCTATATCTATATCTATATCTATATCTATATCTATATCTATATCTATATCTATATCTATATCTATATCTATATCTATATCTATATCTATATCTATATCTATATCTATATCTATATCTATATCTATATCTATATCTATATCTATATCTATATCTATATCTATATCTATATCTATATCTATATCTATATCTATATCTATATCTATATCTATATCTATATCTATATCTATATCTATATCTATATCTATATCTATATCTATATCTATATCTATATCTATATCTATATCTATATCTATATCTATATCTATATCTATATCTATATATTGATCCGCTCATAGATTTTCTTCTATATTAGCTAGAAATATGAAGGTAAAAAATTAATTAAAAAACTATAATAGAAAAAAATAAAAAAATATAGAAAGACGTAAATTGAGATAACCTATTACTATTTATACTTTGGTGTAAGTTAAAATATAAAATAAAACTATAATTTACTTAAGATATTAAAGATATATTGAGTTTAAAAATTAAATAAATTCAAATATCAAAATAAGATCTTACATAAAATATACAAATTGTTTATAAGGTAAGAAAAAAAAATTAAATAATCAATACAAAGTATTTTAATAACAAGAATAATAAAGTCATATTAACATTGATAAATTGGGCAAACAAATATTTTATACGTAAATATTGCTACAACATTTAAATATAATGTGTTCAAACAATTCAAAAAATATTTTTCTATGATAAATATTTGAACTGAGTGTAGTTAGTTTAAGTTTGAAAGTATACCTTAGTTTTTGAAAATACGGTCTGATTTAGAAAATAGAATGTTAAATATTATTTGAATATGAGAAGAGAATTTTTTTTTAAATTTTTATCTATAATATATTAGAATGAGTGTGGTAGAAATAGATATTAAATTTAAATAATGTAATAATATTAGGTATTAAGTAATATAACATCAAAAATCAAGAAAAAATTGAGGAAAAATAAAAATTCGGATTTTTATAATAGAGAAAAAGGATAAAACTTATTTAAATTTGAGATGAGAAAGTTTTTTATATTATGATAAGAAAATTCATAATATGGATAAGTCCACGTACCTCAAGTCTAATAGATAAAATAAAAAAATAAAATATTTAATAACAAAACTAAATTAGAAAGAATGTGAGAATATTTATAAATCAAAAGTTTAGAAAATAAAATAAAGAATAATTAAAAATATTAATAAAATATAAATAATTTAAATGTTCGATCAATATTTTTAAAACGAAATAAATATTATTTTATGATTAAGAAAATTATATATTTATCTATATTATATTAAAGAATAGTAGTTGATAATGATATTAAATAAAGTTACAAGTTAATGAAAAGCCAAGAATATATATTAGATTAAAAATTAGCAAAATTATGTTAAATTATTGAAAGTTCACTATTAGAAATGAAAAGAAAGTCTATTTGAATTTGAGATTAGAAAGTTCTTAATACTATGATGAGAATGCTCAGACTATGAAAAATATCACGAAATTGAAGTCTTATTTATGAAAAATAATAACAAATAAAATTTAAAAATACAAAATAAATTTCTAATATAGGTAATTTTACTAATGAAAATAAAAAATTAAATGTATCTTAAAGATAAAAGAGAAATAAAATTTACGTACAGAAACAAAATGACAATGAAAATATTTCTACAACATTTAAATATAATATATTCAAACAATTAGGTAAATATTTTTCTATGATTAATATCTGAATTGAGTGTAGTTAGTTTAAGTTTGAAAGTATAGCATAATTTTTTTGAAAATGCTGTCCAATTTAGAAAATAGAATTATAAGAATTATTTGAATTTGAGATGAGATCTTTTTTATTTCATGATTTTTTTATCTTTGAAAATGTTAAGTAAAGAAATAAAATGACAGTAAAAATATTACTATAATATTAGATATAATATATTCAAACAATTAAGAAAAATATTTTTCGATGATTAAAATAAATTTTTTAAAAATACATAATAAATTTCTAATATAGGTAATTTACTAAGGAAAATTAAAAATTAAATTTATATCTTAAAGCTAAAAAGGAAAGAAAAGTTAACTGCATCTAATACGAAAACAATTATAAGAGAACTCAATACATTTGGAACATAATAATCAAGTAACTTATGTATTAGTATTTTAGACCAATTCAAAGTTCAATGTAAAATAAAATATAATATTATATTGATTATAGATAAAACATTAATGTAAAAACTAATGAAAAATTATAGTAGAGAAGAAAATGTATAAAAAAATAGAGGCAATAAGAGGATACTTATACTTTAAATTAATTTAATAGTAAATAAATTAAATAACTAAATTATATTTAAAAAATATTACTCATAAATTTAAATGATTAAAAAATTTCGAATAAGATGATACAAGCATAAAAATATACCAAATTTCAAGAATAAAACATTTATATTTATTAAAGACTATTAAAAGGATAATAAACAAGACATTAATTTAATTATTAAGTTAATAAAAAATTATATAATAGTATAATAATATTAAATAATAAATAATGCAACAACTATAAAGAACAAAAAGAAAAATGAATATGCGTAAAATAATGTAAAAACAAAGTGATGAATAAGACATTTTATGATGTGATGAATAAGACATTTTTGACTTTTAGATAAAAACAAAGTGATACTAAGAATTTTGTTAAAATAATATGATCTAATATGCTCAAACAAGACAGATCACAATATCACATGTTTAGTATTCTTTAATATTGACAGCGAAACGAAATGCAAGTACTAAATCAAGGGGCTAGGTTGCTGCGTATATGAAAAAAATAGGTAGTCCATTACGAGATTTGAACAATAATTTCATATCCTGTTTTATAATTAATATCTAATATTATATAATTTTTATCCGAGAAATTTACATTTTAAGGTTATTTGCACATAATTCAAACAATCTACATCATAATTTGACATGATTTGTATCTGCGCGACTAATACTAGTTTACAACTAATAAAAATCTTCTCTGTCAAATGATGCGCGAATACTAATACTAATTTACAACTAATAAAAATCTTCTCTGTCAAATGTCATTATTATTAAAATCAATCTTCCTTCATCTTTCACTACAAAACAACTCATTTCCCAAATATTAAAACCTCACTTTGATGCTCCCTCCACCAAGGGCGGAGGTAAAGTTTTCACTACGACTCGACTAGACTCAATATCTTTGATTAAAATTTTATATATATATTTTAAAATGATTAAAATTTCGAACACATCAATTTTAAATTCCACTTCTGCTCCTTACCCCACCCTCTGCCCACCCCAACCCCATTACTCCACCACCCCTTTCTCTAATGAAAAAACACCCCATTCCAATACAAAAGAGACACCACAACTCATTTGCCACTCTATTCCCCTAATATAAAAACCCTAATTTCCCTCTTTTATTCCCCTTTTCCAACTCTTTTCCCACCCCCTCCCCCTACCACCCACCTCTCCAAAAACACACACACACTCTCTCTCTCCTGAGCTTTCTTGAATTTCCATGGTGCTCTCTCCATAGTCCACCTTCCTTCTGATTTTTACCCTTTTTCAGACTTTCCTTTTTCATCTCAATGCCTCATTCTTAGTACTTAACTTCACTCACATTATGACTCTCTCTCAATATCTCTCTCTACTACTCCTTTTGCTTCTGTTCCACCTCAACGCCTCTTCTGCTTCAGAAGAAGAAGTTCGATCACTTTTGGAGTTCAAAAAGGGCATAAAAGACGACCCATTAGGCAAAATCTTCAACACATGGAGCCAAACGGGTCTCGGGTCAGATCCATCAACATGCCCAAAGTCATTCCACGGCGTCGTTTGTGACACCAACTCAAATTCAGTTATCTCCATTGTACTTGACGGGCTTGGATTAGTGGGTGACTTGAAGTTCTCTACTCTGAATGGGCTAAAACAGCTCAAAAATCTCAGTCTTTCGGGTAACTTTTTCACGGGTCGGGTTGTACCCGCTTTGGGTTCCATGTTCACTCTTCAACATTTGGATCTGTCTGGTAACCAGTTTTATGGGCCAATCCCGGCCAGAATTAACGAGCTTTGGAGTTTGAATTACCTCAATTTGAGTAACAATAATTTTACAGGGGGTTACCCTAGTGGAATTAGTAGTCTTCAGCAGTTGAGAGTAGTGGATTTGCATAATAATGGGCTTTGGGGTGATATTGAGGAGTTGTTTTATGAGTTGAGGTATATTGAGCATCTTGATTTGAGTAACAACTCGTTTTTCGGGTCGTTTTCGAATATGGGACCGGATAATGTATCTGCATTGGCTGCAACAGTTCAGATTATGAATTTGAGTCATAATAACTTGGATGGTGGTTTTTTTAGGGGAGATTTGTTGCAGAGATTTGTGAATTTGAGAGTGTTGGATTTGGGGAATAATGCTTTAATGGGAGAGCTTCCGTCTTTCGGGTTATTGCCTAATTTGAGGGTTCTAAGGCTTGGGAATAATCAGCTCTTCGGGTCGATTCCTGAGGAGCTTTTGCAAGGGATGGTTCCATTGGAAGAACTGGATCTTAGTGGCAATGGATTTTCAGGTTATTTGCATTTCTTGGATCAGTATTTTTGTTGTTGAACGATCTTAATTAAATATATAACTTTTATTTGTATATTATTTGTTATGCATGCCTTAAACTTCAAGGCTCTTAAATTTTGGTGGTGGACTTGAATTGGAAACTTTCTTGTGTTTTACCAAATTGGAACTTTACAGTTGTGAATGCCAAAACTTGTTCTTTCTGTTTACTTGTCAGGTTGTAATTAGTTTTCTTGCGTGAGTAGTGTTTGGCTATACATATCGCAGAAAATAAAAATCTTTTAAGGTCATTCGGCCTATGCCAAGTATAAAAATGTGTTTTTTGGGAGAATTTAGAACAACTTCTTACTGCCTGTCTTTGTGTTTGCCTCAACAGATCTTGAGTAACGTGGATTTGGTAGAGGAGTTTTTAATAGCAAAGCATGTTAAATAGGACTTACTTTTTATTCTTGACAAAAAGTAGTCAAGCTAAGAGGTTTCCTAATTGGTTTAGTAAAATTAATAGAAGCCCCTAATGGAATAGTTGCACGACTGTATCATTTAGTAGCCACAATACAGTCTTTTTGCGATGGTTTAATTTCATGCTGTATAGCTCAAAATTCATGGCAAGCTTTGCTGGAGCGATATTTCTTCTTTATCTTGAAAACTTGAAAATATGGAATTTCTCTCTGCTTTCAATATCTTATGTTATAGCACAATATTTGCACCTAAAATGAATGACATTTATCTCATTAGCAATCTATTTGTCCTTAATATGTTCATTTTTCTCTTTACTTATCCTTTGTTACCCCGTGTAGAGGTTCCCCATTCCTCCAGTGTAGCATTCTTGCTGCTCATGATGATGTTTTTTTTTGGGGGGGGGG